CCCGCCGGGCTCCGCGGAGCTGGGCTCTGGCAGCAGTCCCCGCGCTCCAACTAGCTCCCGACCCGGCGCGCGGGTGAGAGCCGGGAGGAGGAGACCTGAGGAGCTGGAGGGAGGGAGGGAGGGAGGGAGAGGCGGTGGGGGAGGAGTTGAGAGCCTGGGGAGAGAAGGAGGGGAGCAGGAGCGAAAAGGAGGAGGGGGTGGTGGGGACCTGCCGCTGCGGGCGCTTCACCCGCCAGCCCAGAAGCGCGCGCAAGAGCGCGAGGGGGCGCCCTGCACCTCTATGTCTCCAGCTCCGCCAGACTCCCGCCGGGTGCTGCCATGTGTGTGTTACCCAGAGGGTGGACAGAAGTCCCGCTCTGCAATCGGCTTTCGAGCGGCGGGACCACGGGCACTTGTTACTTTTTGCCACATCCTGCCTTACCGTCCTCAGTAACCCCGTCTCGAAGCTGACTTCCTCCTGGAGTCAGCGCACCCGAACCGTGCCCACCAAACCCTTGCGGCCTGAGGAAATTCTCCCTTCCACCCGGCTGCCAAATCCCCCAGCCCTGTTAGCTAGGGAAAATCTTCATGCCGGTGGGTTTGAAGCGGGAAAGAACTGCGAACAGCACAGGAGAAACCCGGCAAAACTGCAGTCGAAGGGAGTGGGAAGAGGCTGCTGGGCCAGACTGGAAAACCAGAATGGGCCGGATTAAGGTTAACTTTACAAGCCGCACGACCTTGAGTGAACCTCCCCAAGCCTCAGTTTCCTCAGCTGTAAACTAAGGTTGGTAATACCCTACAGAACGATTTGAAGACTAAGTAGGGGCTACAGTCAGTAAAATAATAACAGGAACATTGGGAGGGCGTCCAAGAGATTAATGATCCAGGGAGACAGTGAGACCTCTGAGCTGAGGAGGGAAGCTTAGCGAGATCACACCGAGCAAGGCTGCCTGTTGACAAGTTTAATATCTAGTGTTTCTGGTGGGAAAAAAGCGGAGGGAAAGACAGAGGGGACAAGCTTCAAATCCTATGTGCCCGGGCTGAGAAAGGGATAGGACGGGAGCCCTCTGCTGAACAAAACAGGGTATTTAAAGTAAAAAAAAGATGACCTAAGAAAACGAAAGAGTGAAGAAAAAGGACCTAAAAAATTAAGCCCCAAGAAGTGTGATTTTAAGAAATAACCAAAAAGAACTGTGAAATAAAAATAGGTAAGTTGGAAGAAGGAAAACATTAAAAGGCTCTCTAAAGTGTGCCAGAAATTGAAGATTTCGAGTGAAGCATTTTACACAACAAAATTCTGGGTAAAGGAAATTCCGGATAAAGCAGAGGAATGGACACAGTAAAAGCCCCAGAGAAGCACCCTCCATCCTTCCCCCCGCACCCACACACACACCCCCCTCTGGACCAAAATGAGAAGCAGTTTGACCAGGATGATGATGATGATGATGATGATGAGAAGGGGAGAATCTAAAAAGGGAGTTTATGAGATGCTCTAAAAAGGAAAACAGTGCACAATTTCAGAAACAAAGACTTTCTAGGACAACAGAAATGCTGAAACTCATAATGTGCAGAATGGAGAGGAACCTGCAAAGGTGAGACACACTCTGGATCATAAGAGAGAGATGTAGAGAAGAAAAAAAGAAGGAAACGGGGCATCAGAGCATACCAGTCTGGTAGCCGATTCATTTACTCAGGGATAGAAATCCAGTTGGAAGAGAGAATGCAAGGCATCGAGTCCAGACCTATCATTTTACTGACAAAGACAATGAGATCTAGAGAAAGGAAGCAATTCTCCCAGAGTCCCAGGCCAGGGTGGGGGCAAGTCTCCTGATCCCCAGTATGAGACCTTTCCATTGCTGTGAGTACTGCCTCCCCCACCCTCATCCTCTATAGAACCACAGAAACTGTGTTGTCATTGCAAAAATATAAATGTGTGCAATTATATAGACACCTTTTAATTAATACAAAAACATGAAAGGAGAGTTTCCCATTTGTCTGGCTGGGAGCATAAACAAAATGCCTTCTGAGTGGTTCTGTCAGCAGCAACTCTCTTGAAAGGCAATAAAAATCTGCTCCATCCTTCACCATATTCTCTCATCTTCCCTCTCTTTCCCATCATGTTTTGATGGTTTTATCTTTCCTCTCTTCTCACTGTCATTTCATGCCCCTCCTGGCTCTCCTTCTCCACATTATGAATGAGGAAGAAGGCTTGATGCAGGAAGAGAAGAGGAGACCCCAGTCTGGGGACACAGGCCAGGAAGACTTTCTTTTCAGGGGACGCAGGAGTCAAGAACAGGAGACATGCAAGGAGACACAGACAGAGGAGCAAAGCTGCTTGGGATGCTGGGCTAATTAATCCTAATTGCATCCCACAGTATTGTATTGATTAACAGTGATTACTTAAGAGCTCTCAATGCAAGAGAGCTTCAGAAATGTAAACCTCAGGAAGAGACAGTTGCTTTACTAGCCTGGATTACCACCTGCTTCAGGCATCCCCAGAGTTCAGCAAACGTAGCCTCGTTAGAATCTCTGAATCATTTACTTGGAACAAAACCTGGGGCCTTGACCCCATCACCACAGGATCACCACCACCTTCCATTACCTTCCTTAAACCTTTGCAATAACCTGTACAATAATTACTTCTATTAGGAGCAATTCTCCATACATTGGAACAGTGTTAATTAAGCAGAATGTAAATACAGCAATTAATACAGAATTATTCAAAACAAACATGGTAAAAAACAGCAAACATGGGAGGTGGGAAGGAGTTCTTAGAATTCACTGGTGATCTAGGAATTCCAAACTTATCTTGAACTAAGGTGCCAAGAAGTTAAGAAGTAAGCCCAGATTCTTATGCTTCAGGGTAACAAAACTGGAGGTCTCCTGCCTGCCACCTGGGGGCACTTTCTGGGAGATCTAGCTACTTCTGAAAAACAGAATGTAGCTTCTCCCAGGAGTGTGTGTAGGGGTGTGTGTGTGTGTGTGTGTGTGTATGTGTACTCATGCTTGTGCACAGCCCGGGCACAGACACAAGTCTGGCCTTCAAGCAAAAGGCACACAAACACCATCCACTCGTATATTGATAGGGGAGAGACTTGAAAAGAAGGCAGCAATCACTTTTAATGTCCAACCAGTTTCTTGGTTCCAGAACCACCTGCACGCTTAGGTCAGAGGAACTGAAGCGTCACTAAATGTCAGCTTCGCCATTGTCCTGAGCTAATGTGAGAGAAGAGACCTTCCTTCCTTCCTCTC